TCTCGGAGGAGACGGCAGCCACAGCTGACTGGTTCCACCTCAGTGGAGTTTGAAAACCAGCACCGACTGACTGGGCCCGAGCAGACGCTGAAGGTAACGGAGCCCACCCAGACCCACAGTGACCCCCACAGGCACAGAGAGGTGAAGCAGCGTGAGAGATTTTCCACCGATTTCAAGCTGTTGCTGACATTTTCCTTCTCTTTCTGTCAGCAGGAGACGAGAGGCTGAAGGTGTTTACTTCACCACCGCAAGACGCACAGACTGAATGGATGAATTAATGATGAAGAGGTGAATGTCAAAGGCCAGTGAGGCACACAGTCCTCAAGGGATAATTATTAGGAAAAGAAAATACCATCCAAATATAGGGTATTAAACAGTATCTTTACAGATATACTCACTTATGAGCTGGCGTTATTTAATGTTAATGAGTGATACCATCCAAATATAGGGTATTAAACAGTATCTTTACAGATATACTCACTTATGAGCTGGCGTTATTTAATGTTAATGAGTGAAGAAACTAATAAAAATCTCTGCTTCACATGAACAACAAACCAAAGCCTCAGGTTAAACCCAACCATGAAGTGGGAGATATTTAATATTTGGTGGTAGCTCACCACAAAGGCTCTGGAATTTAAACCAACAACCTTTTTGTCACAAGCCCAATCCTATGATCACCTGTCCTAGATCTCAAACTCCTGGCCCGGGGACCACTTCATGCCCACCGGCATCGCTCTTCTGGCCCCTCACTAGATGTGAATAATTATTTATTTTTTGCTCATCTGGCCCCTCACTAGATGTGAATAATTATTTATTTTTTTGCTTTTTTTTTAACTTGCTCATATTTTTTTTTTATTCAAGGTCTCAAGCAGAACAGGAGTCAACGCTCACTCACGTTAAACTGCAACTGATTCCTCCATGACCTCCACCTCACAGAGGTCAGCACCGTTTCTGACGTTTGTTCAGGGTTGGTTTTAAAAACCCAACTAAAAACACTGTGTGGTACTCCTTGGATTAACATTTGTTTTCCAAAGACGGTGTGTGTGTGTGACTGTGTGTACCTTCCACAGGTGAGGTCCTCAGTCTGGTACAAAGTCCATTCACGTCTCCGTAGGTTTTCTGGACCCTGTTCAGAGCCTCCGGTCCTCGCAGCTCCATGAGTGACCGCAGCTCCTGCAGCGAGCAGCTGAACTCTGACTCGTGGTTGGCCTCATTACGTCGGCCGTGTTTGGCCGTATGGAACGAGTTTCTGGCCATGTCTGGGTCACAGGACACGGGCCTTCAGCACTAACACAGACTCAGTGGTGGGCCTCGGGTACGGATGTGTCCTTACAGCGACTCTGTGACTGCAGAGAGACCAACAAACACAATCATCCGATTATCTCACAGCTCCCTCTGACAATAACAGAACCTGACTCCAAAAACTAGGACGAAGGGACATTCATTCAGTTTGGTGTAATGGCCGGGCCAGTAGGTGGCAGCGTTTTAGTAAGTGAGTATATGAATATACAAAGAATAAATTGGATTTACTCAATGCATAAAACTGTTACATTAACTGACAAAAAAAAACAACAAAACATATAATATCAGTCTTTATAGAACCATTAATTAGTTGTAGGAGGTCATTTTGAAATGTGTTAGTAAATATTTGATAAATACGTGGTTGTATTTACCTAATATTCTTACATTTTTGACAGTGACTAATTGTTTTTTTTTTTTATTTGGCATCTTTAGGTTAGAGTTGTGTGTGTGTGTGTGTAGAGTGTGTGTTCCTCAGATGCTGTGACCTCTGTGCCTTCAACTGTAATCTGTGTCAATCAGTCAGCCCAGCCTTAATCTGAACAGGGAAGAGCAGCCTGCTCAGGGCTGAAGAAAAGAAGAAAAAAAAAAAAGACTCCAAGAGGTGAATAACCTTTACAACCATATCCAGAGTCAAACACACACACATTTACACCACAACACGAAATACAGAATATGGAAGTGCATCTTTTAGTGCAACAAATTTAAAAAACAAAATAACATTTTGTGTTGAATGGATCAACTGTACTGTACTTTACTGTAGTAACTTGTTTTGCAACGTTACTTTACGTAATAACTATTCACTAATGAACTGTTAATACAACAGTACATGCATCATTACTGTGTCTTAAACTCAGGTCAGACATACACACTGGGAGGTTTTTGATCAAAATCTAACTGGACACAAACACTTTTTGACAAACACCCAGAGATAAAGGCTCCACTTACAGTAGCTTCCCCCATCGCCTCCTGTTAGCAGCAGCAGCAGCAGGTATTAGCTCCGGTCCGGTGACTCTGAGCCGCGTTGCACCCACAGCTCCAGAAACAGCCCATTACCCAGACGCAGACTGTACCACCACCTGCCCAAGGACCTTATTTTACCAGCCCAAAAGCAGCCGGTTCTTCGGAAAAATCACTTTGACCTTCAGCGAGCTCAGAGTTCCACTCAGTGCTCGATCGGAGGGAAAAAAACAGCAGCGGCTAAATGATTATCTGAGGAAAGCCTTGGTTAATCTAATTAGACAATCTGTGGCTTCAGTCAGCCCTAGAGAGACTGCTGCTGCTGCTGCTGCTGCTGCTGCTGCTGCTGCTGCTGAGACACTATATACACACAACAGGTCTACACACACACACACAAGCAACAGGTCTACATAGAACAAATAAATACACACCCAGCAGGTCTACACAAGCAAAGCAAGTCAGTCTAGACCAGGCATGGGCAAACTATGGCCCGGGGGCCAGATGCAGCCCGTTTGACTTTATTTATTCAGCCTACCAACCTTATGTTATTGATTTCTATTGTCATTATAATTCTGCCTTTTCCTAGATATATATATGTGTGTATATATATATATTTAAAATTAATAAAAAAAATAATATATATTTTTTCTGATTACAAAGTTGTGGCTAATATGACCCGTCTAGCAGACAGTACAGTTGTTGAGTGCTGTCACCCAGTGGCTGCAAAATTTTAACACACTTAAATCCATCACCAAGCGTTGACAACCAGAAGCTGAATGAATGATGAAAAGACAATTAAATGCACATTTTAAATAATAAAAAAAATCAGATAATTACTTACCCATGTTGGTTTAATCGAATTATTTGTATCCTCCAAGAATGGATTTGTGCATAAAACAACTCCCCAAGATGCCGTCCGTGTCTGTCACCGTCTCTTCTTGTTGTTGTGCTCGGGTCCTAAAAAGCAGCCGTTAAGAGAGGGACGTTACGAGAGGTTTGTGCTCAACAGTAAACAGCAAATAATACTTTGTAATATTCTCATGGTAAGTCGCTTAATTTATCACAATGGCAGATGCCATTTGTTTTATTACAGCTAAAGAGCCCTAAAACAACGAACATAATTATTGCATCGTTTTTATTTACCTCCAAAGAACTTAATAGAAATAATTCAAAGCACAGGAGAAACATCAACATTAGAGCAAAAACATCGAAACTAATTTTGTTTAGTTAAAATATATATAACAGTTTTCTGTAAAGTACAACAGGGTGTAAGAAATATTAATATTACAAAAAATACTGAACTGTATTGCGGACAAATAGGAGATGCGCGTGAACAGCTGATGCATGTGACGTCACTCTTCAACATGGCGGACTGGAACAGAGGTATTTGCTTTCGACACGTATTTAACTGTTAAAGTTTCGCTCACAACAGCGACGGAGCGCGAGCGTTACTGTGTTTAAACGAGTGAACATGTCGTTCGTGCGTTTGGTTTGACTTTATACGTTAAATGGTTGTTTTTTTTTCGTAGCAAGTCGAAGACTTTAGGTCTTTAGATGTTAAGTACGCGGTTCTTTACTGAAAGTGTAACAATGGAACTAAGAATTACTAATTTACCTAATTAAATGTTTAACGGTTGGGTTGTAACGACCACAATTACAAGCTGCGGTTATGGCTAGGGCTCACTAGACGTCGAAGCCTAAGGCTTACTAAACGTCGACGCCATCTTGGTGATGGCAAAAGTGGAATGTAAACGGGAAGTGCAGTTTGAAAAGAATAATCCTGAGAGTGTCACGATTCTACAAGTCATCGATTCTGTTTGATTTGTATTGTAAAGTCAGCTTCCCATATATGAATTTTAACTTTCCTTTTAATCTGGGCTTATTTCAACACATAATCATTAGTCTATTAACTAATTAAAAAAAAGTCTTCCTCCAAGTGAAATATACACAGGAATTTGTAAAAAAAGTCTTCTTCCAAGTGAAATACTGTATACACAGGAATTTGACCCATTAGTCTGGGCAAAAAGCAGCATACTGTAGCATAAGGGCAGCACAGGTTTACCTCAGTCAGTCTTAAGGTTTAATATTTATCCCACACATACTGTACATGTTGGTTTGTTTCCAGGTCACGGCTCAGTGGACGATGTGCTTGATTCTGAAAATAAGCGACTGGCTGAAAACCTGGCCACAAAAGTCTCCAGACTGAAGTCGGTAAGGAACAAAACACTCACCTCTCTTCAGGAACCACTTCATATAAACAGTATTTCTAGTAGTTTTGTTTACTACATTCTGTTAAAATAATTGCCCTCCCTGTCACTGTGTTCTGACAGTTGGCGTACGACATTGACAGAGAGGCTGAGGATCAGAATGACTACCTGGATCACATGGTGAGTCATTTCAAGATTAGCATTTTGTATTTTCATGGACCTAAAAGATATACATCAATTTACTCCTTACTTTTTATATGTAGTTGAAATCTGAGCTTTTTTTTTTTGCAGAAGGTTGTGTTTTTGTAGTGTGAAGATGCAATTACAGACACAATTAGTTCCTCCATTTTTACTGATCCCGATCTCATTATTCACTAATTCTTGGACTTAATTCGGGTCATGCGTTTCAAGAAGCTAAGGAGATAAATAACTAAAACTTACGTAGGATGAAATTTGAATACAAAGATAAATATATGACATAAATCTCTGGTCCTTTACCCTATCAGGATTCCAACTTCCTGAGTGCCACTGGTCTGTTGAGTGGCAGCGTGAAGCGTTTCTCCACGCTGGTCCGCTCCAGCAGGGACAATCGTCGCATCCTCTGCTACGTGTCTGTGGGCCTGGTGGTGGTCTTCTTCCTGCTCTACTACCTGGTCTCCAGGATTCAACGCTGACAACTGTCCAAATCAGCCAAAAACTTTGTCAACCCTGTGGTTTCCTGCACAGGACAAGACTTTAGAATCTACCTGAAGCCAACGAGAGAAAGGATTGTTGTTTTTGAAGTGGTGGTTGATCACTGACATTAGTCATACCATAATGGTGGATTAGCTTCAACGGAAAAAGAAGGATGTGAACGGAGTCCAGGATTTTCCATCAAACACTGAAATGGAGATATGGGAGTTTTAACTTTAATGTAAACATACGAAGGTGGAGTGGGTTTTTCAGAACAGGTTTTGCTGCTGTTTATCTTAGCAGTGTTACAGTGTCACAGTTTAAACCTTCAAAACATTCCTAATTTAACTTTGAATGAGTCGACAGCCACAAAAAAGTTTAACAAACCTGTTTTTGATTTCACTGTATAATTTAACTATGGGCACGTAGTTTTTTAAAATGATTTTTAAGGGTCTCAGTATCAGTACATGCTACATATTATTTATTGAAGGGTCAGTGTCTCATTTTTTGTGCTGTGTAGAACAAGGATACAACAGGTGATGGTTTAAAACAAGAACAGCTAATGAGTGTGTGTTTGTTAGTTAACATGAAATGTTGGGAGTTATCCTTCCTTATGGTTTACACAAAAATATTTTGATTACAATTATTTTATTTTTATACCTTATTTAGTCGGCCAGAGAATATTTACATTCTTAAAACTAATCAGCCAAAATAATCATAAATACATATTCAATAAAAAATTACCTTTAAATTAACTTTTTGGTGATTTTGATTTCTTTTTTTACTTTTGTATAAAAATGTATATTTGGCAATTAAAAAAAAAAAGTTTTAAAATTGTGAAACTTTCAGCAGTGTCTAAGAATGAGCTCGCCACATCACCTTCATATAAATCCATTGTCGGCCACTGTGTGTCGCTTCGTGCTTTTCCGGCAGTATTCGGCGGATTGCTTTTCGAAACAAACATTTGGACGCCCCTCCTATCGTCGCCTGAGCTCTCTCGGATATTTGTGCTTCGCCTGCAAAAGTCGGGAGAAAAACGACTTAGTTCAATATCATCAACCACTTCTGGAACTTGGAGCGGATCGAGGGTTCGTGTCAGGCTCGGCTGAAGTCGGAGCCCAAGCTTTGCGTCTTGTTCGCCGCTCGGCCACGTTCGGCTCTTGTCGTTCAGTCCACGGAAGAATGGACGAAGCGGACTCGGCCACGAAGGCGCTCGGGTTGGATGAACCGCCCATCGTCGAGCCCTCGGTTGACGGAGTGGGCTCGGATACCGAGTCGGAGGCCGAAGTTGCCTCAATGGCCGTGATGGCGGAACCGGGGAACATCGACATAGGAGCCGAGTCCCTGCCGAACCCTGACGAGGCCGAGGCGGCGTTCGCTGGTAAGGCGGGCTTTAGCAGTAGCTGCGGGAGGAGGCCGCTGCTGCGCAGATGGCGCTAAAATGCAAAATGCTGCATATGCGTGTGTTGTTGTGTGAGCTTCAGCGTATTAACCAGAATTTAGTTTTAACTCCTCAAACTCAGAACACGTAAACGTCACACGAATAACATCTCAGTATCGAATAACGTAAGGTGTCCACGCACGTAATGTTTTTTTTTAACATGTAAGACAAGTAGAGGCAATATAAAATATAAAATATCAGTCCCTGAAGCTTATCAACTGTAATGTTAGCCATAAATTAAATTAAATTAAAAGTAAACTGGCTTTAAATGAACCAAATCGTAATAAAAGTAATTCCAAAATTAACTTTGAAGCAGCTAATACCTATGCCTTCACTAATAATAATAATACTGTATTCTGCCTTGTCAAAAACTTTCAAAATAAAAGTTTGTGAAAAACTAGTTAAACATTTTTCATAGACTAACATTTTTTTACATACCTGTGCACATTTTCTGAGAGCCTATATCATTTAACTCAATTTAGTTAAGAGAATATTAAGTACAATTTTACCTGAGATTAACGTATGCACAGCACAGAGTGAGTTTTTTCAGACTGAAGTTAATGTTACTGTAAGACGGCTGTTGTGATTGGAGCAGGGCTTTTACAGACACAAAGATCTGAACTAAGGTCTTATCGTTTCCTTTATTGTTTGTCAGAGGTGACGGCTGTTACGGTGAGGGACGTCCAGGCCACAGATGACAACGTTTTTACCACCACGGTGACCGCACCTGGAGGCCTCCCTGAACATGTGCTGGTAGATTAACACACACATACATACATACAAGGTCTATGCTGACTTATATTTACGTAGAGACACAAACTACTGCACAAACAATTGTACAAAACGTCATGTTAAACGTTCTGCAACTCACAAAGACGGGTTTGCTTTTTCTTTACTTACAGTATGTTAAACGTTCTGCACCTCACAAAGACGGGTTTGCTTTTTCTTTTTCCTTCAGAGCGGGAGGACGACCCTCCAGCTGGGTGAAAGCCTCAGTACCCAGAAGGCCACTCTGATTGTGGTTCATACTGATGGCAGCATCGTAGAAGCGACTGGTCTCAAGTCTACCAACGCCATGGCAACAGGTGTGTGTGTGTGGCATCTGTGGAAATTGTTGTTGTGACACAGCACACAATCAAATGTGACACACAGCACACAATCAAATGTGACTTCGGCTTTTAACACATCACCACAGTCAGCAGGGGGCAGCACAGTGCCATACTCAGAGCACCTCAGTGGTAACTTGACTGCTGGTGGACTCGAACCTCAAACCCCCCCAACTTCCAGTTTGATTTGAACCACATTAAAAACAACTGCAAACACAAAAATCTCGGCGCAGCCGCAGACATCACTCCCTGAGACAGACTCGTGTTTTATTAGGTCCACAAACCACACCAACTTCACTGACTCCTCCTCCAGACAAAGACTCGTGCTCCAAGTACAACTGGGACCCGTCGGTGTACAACAACGAGCTGCCGGTCCGCTGCAGGAACACCAGTGGAGTTCTCTACAAGAACCGACTGGGCTCGGGTGAGTCACACACCTTTAACCTTCTGGTCCTGACCGGTAGCTGCACCTCCGTTATTAACGTCGGCCTGGATTCTGTTCAGGGGGCAAAGGTCGGTGCATCAAACACAACCAGCAGTGGTTCACACCGACGGAGTTTGAAGGATTGGCGGGAAGAGCCAGCAGCAAAGACTGGAAGCGGAGTATCAGATACGCCGGCAGACCTCTGCTCTGCCTGATACAGGTGACACTACTGCTACTACTACTACTACTACTACTGCAGTACTGTTTACTGACTGTTACCTCAGTACGTACTCAACAATAAAGTAGTCTTGTAGGAACAACTGAGACAGAACATAAGGAAGTACTCAAACAAAACCACTGGTCACTGCTGTGTGAGGCAACTGTTGCACAAAGAGCTGAAATGCTGAGTCAAAGTTATGTGTTGAAGAGTAGAACTGGCAAAGACTGTTGGGGTGCAGTACATGTCATAATAAAAAGAACCACTTGGTGGTGCTGAGAAACCATAAACCATAAACCCCCTCCCCACAACAATAGGTTCTTTTATTGCTGGTCTGCAAATACTGCACGTTGACGTCAGCGGAAGGTTTTCTTTTATTAAAACTAGTTTTAGGTGAATTCATTTTCCTGTTCATCTCTGTATATGTGTGTGTGTGTGTGTGTGTGTGTGTGTGTGTGTGTGTCCAGGAGCGAATCCTGGTCCCCCACGCCGCCTCCTGCACTTGCGGCGCCTGCTGTGACGACCTCACCGCTGTGAGTAATTTTAGATTTACAAACAGAAAATGTTATAACATTTATCCTTCTCCAAATAAGATGAGATTAAAGACGTCACCGTGTTTGTTTACCTCCTTCATCAGTGTCCCAGAGAGGGAGACTGTCTGACAACAGAGAGCAACTCTATGGTAAATGGTTGTTTTTTTAATCTCTTTCTCTTGTAACATTTAATCTATATCTGGATGTGAGATTTGATGATAATTTCTGCTGACGCTGCCGTCTGATCAACAACATAAAAACCTGTCCCTGGTGGACGTTGTATGATCTATAAACAACACCGCGGTGGAGACAACGTCAGGTCTTATTTTTAACCTTTCCACATCACTTTTGTCATCACGTCATTTTAGACGAGTGTTTGTTTGTCGTGATGATAACTTACTATAAACAGGAGACAAATCAGTTGAGTTCTCTGTCATCTATATTTAAGAACAAGACAGACGTTGTCCAGAAATATATATATAAATGATCATCACTGCCATCTACATTTTATAAATAAAAAAAACCCCAGAAATAATCAAATAAATGTTTTTGACTGTTTCATCTTTTTTTTCAGACCGGCCCAGTCCGACTCTTCGTCCCGTACAAGAGACGGAAAAAGGACACAGAGCCGCCCATGAGTCCTCCCAAAAAAGAACTTCCTGTCTCTAAAAGCATCACGCTGCCTCCTGGAACCACCTGTACGTCAGCTGACCTCCATCAAGTGCTCCTTAAAGACAGCCGTGGGCATTTAAACTTTAAACACCTCTGTTTTGTCCTCCAACAGTCACTGTCTCTCCGTCAGGACAGTTCTCCAACCCCGGCACTCTGACCTTTGACCGCAGCCCGGCCACCGATGCCACCGCAGCCGCCGCCGCTGCCATCATGTCTGACGGCTCGGCGCAGAGCGAAGTTTTCGCCAGCACGGCAGGTAGAGTCCACCACTGACATCATTTATCATGTGTCACCGTCACTGACCCAGACCACTGACCCGGACCACTGACCATCATCTGTCCAACACACACACATGGAGTCACATGACGACCAGCGGCTAAAAATGGGAAAAAACGGAGTCACGTGACGACCAGCGGCTAAAAATGGGAAAACAATTTCAAGTACATGTCATCAAATAATTATAAGATTGCATTCATTCACACACAAAAAATAATGTGGCTTGTTGCATTATTGCCACCTACTGGTGAATATTGCCAACTAGTCACAGCCCACAGACACTTTTAAAGAAAAGAAGAAAAATGAAAATACAGCTAGAGGGCAGCACTGGTGCATGTTAATGCAGTAGCATGTACATGTTCCAGTGTTGTCTTTATGTTTCTGTGGTCATGTGACCTTTGTCTTCTAGAAAATTCTTGTGCAGTCCAACAATTCCAACAATTGGGTCAAATGCTCTCTTATTGGCTGAACTCTTTGATTTTCCTACTTAATCATCTGTGGAGCGGTTTCCCACACTCCGCAGCAGTCGATCCATCATCGTATCTATCAGACTCTCTGATTGGCTGTCACGCTGTTGTAATGAGCTCCCCAGAGAGGACGACTTCTGTGGATGAATAGCCACCACCACTCATCGTCCTGATTTTCAGTAACCCATAATAACCTCCTCCTCTACCGACCAATCAGAAGTTGTTCCTCTTCTCCCCTCTGCTGGTTTCATTGAAGAAAGTAAACTGGATCAAGATGAGTTTTAGAAATATTTTTAGCCAAAAAAAAAAAAACCCTGATCCTGAGTTTCTACTTTTCTGTGAACGTTCTAAGCCAGAAAAAAAAAACAAAAACGTGTAAGGTGTCGGTTCTGAAAACAGTTCAAGAGGCAGCCGAGTCCTATCCTCTACGTGTTTGATGAAAAACTTTATCCACGACAGCGTGTTTCTGTCACAGCGTGCGCTGAGGTGAAAAGTATTTCAGGAAAAAAATCCTCTGATGAACCTACTGTAAAACTCTGGCAGCGTCTGCTCAAAAATATAATTCATTGGTATACGAAAATACTACATCCTGCGTATTTAATAACAGCTGGCCGATATTACGGTGATGGTCTGATAGTTTAAATTTACTAAGACTGTACTCCCGTTCAGTTGAAGACAACACTGATATACTGTCAGGAATTGAAGAAAGACACTCGCAAAGATTTTCTTCAACAGCTCTGATTATTTTTTTTTTTTGGTTTTACATAGCCATCGGCTGCCACCTAGAGGAAGAGGATTTAATTGTTCTGCCTTTCATGCTTTGACGAGCAAAGAAAAATTATATGCAATAAATTAATTAAACAGTTTTCAGCCCAATTGATGATCTCTCACGACACACTAGCGGGCCACGGCACACGGGTTGGGAATCACCGGTCCAAGAAAAATTGTTTTAAAATATAAAACGCACCAACAACATCTGGTGTGTGAGGTCTGTGTGTGACACGTAGAGTCGTCACCGTGTGACTGGAGGTCATTCAGGTTAGCATTAGCATTTTACCTGCTGCTGCTCAGAGACCAGGTATGGAAATCACGCTTCCTGCTGTGTCTCCCTTTTTCTATTGATATGCTGCGAAATGACGTAAGCAAACGTAGAACACACACACACACCGTACACACACACACACACACCTTTCCCCTGGACGTGTCAGATCACAGTGCTTCACAGATGGATGTCCACTTATTTTTGGACGATTCTCTGAGGAACTGTGAGCTGCCAGCTACTCTGCTGCCACAGGGAGAATTTCACAGACATTCGTTTGTGAAAGTAGGTCAGTGGTGATACACTGACCTGGATCTGCTCAGACGACAGACCTGCTGTATACATACAGTACGTACACCGTCAGGGCTGCAGGTACTGACGCTGAGGGACTGAAAAATACTGGGCGTCCAAGAAAAAAAAACAGTTCCAAGAAGGAGGAGTGAAGGTTTTTTTCTTTTTCCTTCAGAAGGACATTTTAAAAATGCTGAACTCTGGGAAAATATGATCACATTTTATGGTCATTGTTATCATAAAAAAATGACATTCTCTAATTTAAACTGAACACAAATTAAAAACAGATTTCAGACCGTTTACCCCTGGTGTCTAATGATATTTTTCATGTGGTGTTTTGCAGTGTTGACGGCGTTACCGGCTCTGGCTGTGGCTCCTCAGCCCATTCAGGCCAAAATGGCGGTGACCACAGCGGGGTCTCCGTCAGCCGGGCTGGTGACTGGGCTGGACGTGGGCGCGGTGGGCGGCGTGGGGCCGGCAGTGAACGAGAGTCAGAAGAACACCTGGTTCTACCTGGAGGACGTGGCCAACACTCTGCTGAGCAACGTGCAGCAGCTGAAGACCCTGATAGAGCAGGCCAAGAACTCTGCAGGAGACACGGCAGGGTTCAGAGGTCAGGGAGGCAGGAAGGAGGTCAGGACGTTTACTCACCCACACACACATTAGGGAAATCAGTCAGAAGATTTTTTTGTTTTTTTTCAGATTTCTAACCGTGTTTGTTGTGCAGTTTGGTTTCAGTCCGTCGTTCCAGAGTCAGATTTCCTTTCAGCAGCAGGACGGCTCTGAGGCCAAGAGGAGTTCTGACCTGACGGAGATCATCATCAACGTAAGACTACACACACACACACACGCACACACCTGCGATGCCTTCACTGTCCTGTAATAATGTTGGAATGGAACATACTACTGCCCTGAAGTTTTTTTTTAAACACTAATTCACACAAAACACATCTTCTTATTGAACAGAGTCAATAAAAACACAGATCAGAGTGGTTTGACTACTGTGGCAAAAATAAAGAAATTAAATTCAAGTGCCTCGCTGCACTCCCCCTGTGACACCTGTAGGGGGCCTGCTACCCTGTTTGGCAACCACCGCCTTACCCTTACTGTACCCCAACAGAGATTTTAACCTTTTTTTCTTCTTGTTTTTGCAGCAAATGTGTGTGAACTGTGGTCGAGTGGCAATGAATGAGTGTACAGGCTGCCACAAAGTCAACTACTGCTCCACCTTCTGTCAGAGGAAGGTAAGGCATCCAGGAGGGTCAACACATACTTTACATCTTTAATCAGGCGTCATCATGAGACATAGCAGTGGTGAAGATGATAAAACACAGAGGCAGTAGCCACGAGACGTTTAATGAACCTCGTACTGCGTCCCATAATGATGAATGGATTTTTTTTTTTAAATCCCACCCCCTGGGGTTAAAACTAACCATCCTCCAATCACAAGCCTGGTTCTTAAACCTCTGGGCCATAAACTCAGCAGAAACTTTTGCTCCAATTGAGCCTCAGATTCAGAACCGTGGCGTCTCACCAGCGTTCTGTGACATGTGCTAACAGAATTAGCCACCAGAACGTCACATGACTCAAGTCGTGAGAACACGGGAAGTAAAGACACGTGTGTAAAAAAAAAAAAAAAAAAAAAAAAAAAAAAGTCCTACCTCCATTATAATGAAGCTGGGTAGATGTTCTGAAGGTTCTCCTGCCGAGGGAACCAGCTGCTCCTCCAGCTGCTCCTCCTCCTCCTGCTGCTGCTTCATTTATTTATTTATTTCCTAACACTTTAAAGCCGTTCATATTAAACCGTCTGACGTTAATAAACTCACTCTGAACCACAGACCACTTGGTTTTCTCTCTGCAGGACTGGAAGGATCATCAGCACACCTGCTGTCAGTCAGCAGGGGGCATGGCCATGCAGGACGAGGAGCCAATCACAGCCATCGATATGGACAAAGTCAAATGAAGACGACGAGGCTAAAAAAAAAGAAAAATCAGACAGTCGGTATTACAGAAGAAGACGTTTGAAGAACTGCACGTGTCAAGAATGTTTTTTATACTACAGTATTTTTTTAATATATTTAAGTTATTTCTCATGTTTCCTCGGACAAGGATCAGGAGGAGCACAGCTGATTGGTCCGTTTGGCGTTAAAACTGACCAAGTTAAACATGTTTTAGTGTTGGGTTTTTTTCAGGCTCTGGTTATGAAGTGGACTTTTTGATACTGAAGGAAGTTGTATAAAAAAAAAACCTGTTTCCTCGGAGCTCCCCTCTGATTGGTCAGAGCCTCTCTCTTTGTTGTGACACAACAGAAATGTAAATATTCTCAGTGACAGTAGTGAAACGTTGGATGCACCAACTTTGTGGAACTGCTGAGCAATAAACCATAACAACTGAAACAAAACACCCTGAAGTTTTCAATTTAGTTTGAATCAGAAAACAGAATAAAACATGTTTTTGTTTTCACTATAAAAATCTCCATTTTTGTCTAGACAAGACAAATGATCTGACCGTTTCTCCACTGACCCCTCGGGGGGCGGGGGGACATGGAACATCGATATTCACCAGATCGTCCCAGAGACTTCATCATGTACTTGATTTTGGGAGTTTGTACAGACACATCATGACATTTCTGTGCAGAAATTCTGTGCATTTATCTCCTGGTTTGGTGCTGCAGGGCCTCAGTCTGTAACTCTTGTCTGTTGTCTGTCTCCAAGTTGTTCCGTTTGATTCATATCTGGTCAATATCCTGTCTGGAAACGGGGCCTCGTTTTACACATCAACAAACTGGAACAACGTCTGTCTGCGTGTAAAAAAACAGAGACTCTAGCTCCCCCTGCAGTCCTTCTCTGTTCTGATCCAGACGGATGTTCTGAGGTTTGATTTAACTGAGGTGAGGAGAAGAACATCCAGATGTTCCTGCGCTCTGAGTCTGAGTCCCCGGATTACATTTTTCATTTAGAGGTAGCATAAACGTTTGTCTGAAGAAGAACTGGATTAGATAACGTCCGAGGACACAAACACTGGACTTCAAGGGTCAGAGGAAGCTAAAGACAAACAACCAGAGGACGAAGTTACAGGAAACTAAACATGTTGACTAATGACCGGAGATACAAGAGAGCAGCGCCGGGAAACATGTGAGGCCACGAACAGCAGGCACAGGACAGAGGTCTGTGAAATAAACATCAATATGTCATCAGGAAAACCCCCACAGCACACCACCTCACAAAAATCTGACAAAAAGTCTACGTAACGAAGTATAACATAAGTATAAATGAGTTTAAATTGACTAAAAATGAACTCCTGTTTAGTTGAAGACAACGCTGATAAACTGGCAAGAATTGAAGAAAGACACAAAGACTTTTTTCAACAGCTCTAATTATTTTTTTCTTTAGTTTTAATAGCCATCTGCTGCCACCTAGTGGAAGAGGATTTAATTGCTCTGCCTGTCT